AGTAATAGAAATAAACCAACAACTAAATGCTTATGATAGAACCTCCACAGCAGAATTATGCTCTCTGCTTGCAGCCTTCAAGCTGATCAAATTGCTAAACTTCAAAAAGTTCGTTGTCTTCTCCTGTTCTCTCGAAGCAATATGTACTATAAACAGCAACCATCCTAAATATGAAATGGCAGTTTTAATCCATGAATTGTATTATGATCTAATACAGTCTAAAAAATATTTGTCGTGGATCACGCCCCTCGTTGGTGTCATTGACTGCGTAACTTCTATGAAGAAATGATCACCCCTGTATCTGCTGCAGGTGCCCCAGATATTTTGAACACTTTGGAGGACTGTTGGAACCATTTATTTAACTAAATGCAAAATATATGGTTCGAAAGATGGAAATCGATAAAGGCAAGTGAAACACATAAAAAGTCTCCAAAACTGTCTTTAAAACTATCCTAGAATTCCCACGGAAAGCTCAGGTAGTCATTTCAAGGTTGAGAACGGAACATTATAAATTAACGCATACTCACGTAATACCTGGAAAAAAGCCTCATACACATGACCATTGTAAAGTTCTAAATGTAAAACACATTTTAATTTACTGCCCTCTATTATGCAAAAGCAAAATATCTGCAAAAGCAGCAGACAAAAACGTCAATTAGAAGGCAGACATGATAACATTCTTAACTCGAAAGATTATCAAAAGAGAATTATTGATTTCGCTAAACATTAACGAACATAAACTTAATTATTCATTTCGTTAAACATTAAATATTTATAATAGCATTTAGAGGAACTACTAATTATGTTTGTATTGTATGTACTGTTTTGTATGTATTGAATTGTATGTTTTCTATGTATCGTATTGTATGTATATATTGAATTGTTTGTATTGTATTTTCGTACTGTTTTTGATAATTAATATGGTTATAAATTTTATATTGTAATTGAAAAATGTATTTATATATTTAGTTGCTAATGACCTTGATGTCGATGCGACGGTAAATAAATTTAAATTTAAAAAAGTCAGCAAACGCTCTTTTGAATTCATTGCTGTCTGCGGAGATTTTAACATTGATTTCCTGGCCGAACCTTGGGAGAAAGAGCAGTTTCTCAACTTAATTCATTTCTTCAGTTTAGATATTACAATAAATGTACCTACACGGATCACAATAAATTCAAAGGAGGATATCGATCAAATAATAATAAACAAAACCAATACTCGATGTGAAATTGAAACAAAATATTTAAGATACAGGGATCACGATGCACAAATTCGTATCATTATAAGAAATGCGAACACTAACACATTTAATAATACACGTTTGAGTAGATTGTTCATTAAAAGTAAAATAAAATTATTCATCAAATATTTGCTGCAAGGGACGCGGTTTTCAATACTGTTGATTCAAACGATAAATATATTTTTTTAGCGCTTTCATTTAATTTTAACACTTGCTTTCCTCTTCAAAAAAGAAAATTAATTTTTTTCATGAAAAAGCAATTCTTGGATAACATGAGGGATTATGAAATCAAGTAAAAATAAAGGAATTCTTTTTTTTTTTCATTTTTAAGCATCATAACGTATTTCAATATTTCCTCCTCTACTTTAAAAAATACAAATCATTGTTAAGAAA